GAGATAGTTGGCATTCTGCTACATTTCTATAGGTATATTTGTCAATGTATCGATAGAATGAGTTTGACTTTTTAATTTTTGACTTTTTAATTTTTGACTTTCTTCAAGAACATGTATTGATAAACTTTGACATCTATTGATACTTATCCAAATGTATCAATGCATGAAAAATATATATCGATAGATTTGGACCAAAATATGTTTTTTAAAGCCTTTTTCATTATTTATCTTTTTCAAACTCATTTGACATCATTTGGAGACTTGAGAACTTGACATTCAAGGACTTGGATGAATTTTAGTCATTTCTTTTTATTATTTCAAAATATAAAATTGATTTGAATACTATTAAACTAACAAGATGTTTGAAATAATTTATATAAATGGAAAGAAATAAAGACCAAATCAAATTCCACCTTTTCTCTTAACATTTGATTTATTATAAAGTAAAATAAATTAAAGATAGTATTCACATGTATTTCCACTAACAAAAACAATAGATACGGATGTATTCAAATTTACTTAAGTATTAAAATAAGTTTGTGTTGAATAAAACAATTAGAACAGAAAACATGAGAAGATCCTTAAAAGAAGGAGAGATTGAAAGAGGCAAGTGTGCATTAGAGTGTGGTTGAATTGGGGCCCATGTGTCTCTCTGTCTCTCTCAAAAGTAGACAAAGGAAAGTTGAACCCAAAGACCATAAAACCAAGAGATATTTGCTTAAATTAGAACAACTTTTTATAATCCTTTTTGGGAGATATAAAGCCCAAAAGTAGATATGAGTCTTGTCTTTTAGAAATGGCTTTGAAGCAAATGCCATCTCACGTGTCTTTGTTTCCCTCCACTCAAACACCACCCTTTTACTTTAACTTTAATTGGAGGCCTTCCTTCAATACCCCCGAGCTTTGTCTCTTTTTTTTTTGGCTTTATACCGCAATTGGGGACCACATTGAACTCATTCGCATTTTCTTAATGTCGCTTAGATCAGATTCTAAGATTATTCAAGTGATGCAATTACTTCATTTACATTCTTATTAAGTTTTACTTTTTTTTTTATTTTTTGACCCATTATTACTCTCTACTTTATTAGTAGATCATTTAGAAAGTGTTAGCTCTCTCTTAATCTCGTTTTTTTTAAAAGGAGAAATAACTATAGGATAATAGGCTAATGCTAACATTCTTTGATATATTAAGAGCGGGTTTGGAGGTGCCACACATTTTAGTGGAAGCCGCTCCTCATCCTATTTGCTACGCATATCAACAAAAATTAAAATGAGTCTTGAATATATAAATATAGATCTCTCATTATTTATCAAACATATTTTTTGAGTTGAAAACGTAAACCTCATGAGTTATAAGTTTATTTAAATTTTATTTTTAAAATTTAATACCGTGCGGGATTAGGCTTAAATTTCGACCAGTGACAATATTACCCTCTTTAAATGGGTCTAATGCCGCTGCAATTACGTAGTGTTTCCGACCTGTGACAGTACTACCCTCCCTAAATGGGTCTAATGCCACTGCAATTATGTAATATTTAGTGTGAGAAAAATGAGAGCATATTTCCTGTAATAGACTCAATTAAATTACATTACACTGTTTGTTTTGTAACAAACCACAACAATATAAGATTACAATGCAATTACATTACAACCAATGGATCTAATGTGATTGTAATTCAAAACTAATGTAATCAGATTGCATTGTACTTTACAATGCTATTAAAAACATTTTTACTTTTAAATTTTATTATTTTGTTAAAAATATTTTGTAATGTTATAATTTATTTTTTATATATATAGATTTCGAGACATGTCTTTTTATTATTTTTAGTAGTCATAGTGACTGTAAATAAAATATATATTATATTTTAAAAAATTAAAAATTAAATATAAAATATAGAATAATATATTAAAAATAAATATAAAATATAAAAATTATAATAAAAAATAAAAATAAAATATATGACATTAATAGTATATTTAATAGATGATATTATATAATAATTAATAAAAAATACAAGCATATTAAACTTGCATTTCAATAAATAAAGGTAATTTTAGAAATTGACATTATATTCTCAGCAAAGTAGTTATAAACTAAATGTTGCAATATTATCTTTTCTGTATTTTAATCATTACTTTGTTTATATACCAAATATTACAGTATTATCTTTTTTACAATTACATAACTTACAATCACCTTACTTGTAATCACATTACGGTGGCGTTTGATACTTTACAATGTAATGTGATTTACAAATGATGCGATTGTAAGTAATGTGATTGTAAAAAAGATAACATTGCAGTATTTGATAAATAAGTAGAGTAATGATTAAAATGCATGGAAGATAACATTGTAAGGTTTGATTTACAAGTATTTTACTGAGAATGTAATATCAATTTTTAAAATTATCTTTATTTATTAAAATGTAAGGTTAATATACTTGTATTTTTTATTATCAATTTTATAGAATATCATCTCTTAAATATATTTTTACTGTCATATATTTTATTTTTATTTTATTATAAGTTTATATGTTTTATTTTTATTTTTTAATATAATATTCTATATTTTATATTTATTTTAATTTTTTTAAAAGATAATATAAATTTTATTTACAGTCACCATGACTAATAAAAATAATAAAAAGACATCCTCGAAATCTATATAAAGAAAACAAATTAGAACATTATAAAACATTTTTAACAAAATAATAAAGTTGAAAAGTAAAAATATCTTTAATAACATTGTAGAGTACAGTACATCTAATTGCGTTAATTTTAAATTGCAATTACATTACATTCATTAACTATAATGTGATTGTATTACAATTTTACATTGCAATGGTTTATTACAAAATAAACATTGCATACCTATAATCATATTGCATTATAAAATACTAAGCGTCACCTTCATTTGAAGTTAATTTCGATAGAGATGAGAACTTGTTAATTTTTTCATTTATTTAATCATAATAAATTTGAAAAACAAAATGTGAAAGAAACTCTCTTACAATTTCTCTATTAAATCCTAACTTTTTAAAACAAAAAATTCTAATTTTGTTTCAAAAATGTAATTAAAATAATGTAATGACGTACTTACACATATGTACAATGAACATACAAAATTAAGTAATTTACTAATTCAATGATTATACTTTAATGTTTTACCTTATAACCAAACTTTCTAGTTCATATAAGATCTTTTTTGGTTTCTAAATTTCTATCATACTTAGATGCTTCCCTTACCTTTTCCTTTTTTCATCCAAATTTCCAATTTTCTTCAAGTTTTATTGCATTTAAGAAAGCAAAAGGAATCTTTCTCAGACCTTTGACCTTCAAATTTAAGCAAAGACAATTAGGCACCTTTAAAGAAGATTAAGATCTATCGACTCCCAATTAATGCTCAAAGTAGTTGTAATTGATGCTTTAATACTATAAGCAATATAAAAAAAAAATACTTGACTTTTGTCTTATTTTATTTTATTATTCTACTCTGACAACATTTTATTTTGTCCATCCACCTATACACAGTTGTGGAACAAGCATAAAGGCATGAAAGATTGACCAATCACATGCACAATAATAAAGAAATATTTTTGTTTATAAATATATATAAAATAGGATCCAACATCCATGTCTACTCCAACTGAAATAAAAATTTTATGCTTCTTGGTCAAGAAATGAAGAAGAAATAAAATACTTTGATTCTAGATTATATACCAAAGTACCTTTCTATTAAACACATGGTAGTTTAATATCTGACCATTTAAATGTTTTTAACTTCCTAATTTAAGCTGAAATTTTGTTTTTTGTTTTTTGAGAAAGGGTAAGAGCAACAAGATAGACAAAAATAAAATGGAATGGCAAGTTCGTAAATCGAAGAGCAAATGAGTGGTGATGATGGAAGCTGAGAGTGGAAAGACGGCGCTTGTTTATAAAAGATGTGATGGGATGGGGAAGGAAGGAAAAAGGCGAAAAGGATGGGAGGAGGGGGAATCAGATACGGCATCAATCAGGCGCTCACGGGTGACGTCAAGGCGTTGTCACGGACCAATAGCTATCCTTTCTCGTGTGGCTTCCGCCTTATCCCCGTGGTTTGTGTTCCACCGCGCAACACTATTCCCGATGTCTAACACCCCATTCCACCTTTTTCCCATTATTTTATTCGCCGCTATAACCACTCCTGCTCCTCCTATTTGTACGGGTTCCTTTTTCTTTTTTCACTCCCTAATATTTAATCCTTTCATGCTTATACATTTAACAGCATTTCATTTCAAACAATGTTGTAGTAGTTTTTATAATTTTACCCAAAGTATTGAAACAATTTTCTTCAAAGTCAGGGGGTCTCCTCTGTAATTCTCTTGGGACAATGGCTTCTTATGATTAGGTTAAGTCATTTTATGTTGCTCTGTGCTTATTAATAATGTATAGTCAGAGGGAAGGACAGAAGAAAAAAAACAAAGAAAGAGAAGAGTAAATTGCTTACACCAAATTGTTGTTTCTTTCCTGACAAACGGTGGGTATTACATTGAGACTTTGATTATTGGTGATGAAAATTGAATACCTAATTTGGACATTACATGTAAAATTCAACATCATTTTTTTTAAAAAAAATTAACTAAACAAGAATTATTTCAATTAGTATTGAATAATTTAGAATTTGAAAAAAAAAATTCATAGTTATGTTGAATGAAATGCTCAAGCTCAAATATAAGATGATTTTGAGTTTAATTCATTAATCTTAAACAGACTAGAGTTTAGAGAAAGGGGGGATTTGAGCATGTTCAATTCCATTTACCAAATTAAAATATGTTATATGTATTGTGTAAACCTAAAATAGTAAATAATTTATGTAATTTCAAATATTTACAAAATAAAAAAAAAAGAAGTTTTAAAATGAAACAAAAAAAAGAGAGCTTAATTTGGTAAATGGAAAGGGCCTAATAGTAAAACAAATAAAGACATAAAATAAACTTAGGTGTGGGGGAAGAGAGAAGCTAAGGTGTGATGGCTCTCCCTGTACTTTTCCATTGTCTGCATTCAACCCAAAAGCGAAGAAGAAGATAAAGATCGCCTCCTTTCTTCTCTCTCTTTGCTACTGCTATCATCACCGCTCTCTCACACACGCACTAGATCTTCCTTGCTTTTGGTGCTGTGAAAAGCAAATCTGAGGCTCTTGTTAATCTTCGCTCTCTCTCTCTCTCTCTCTCTCTCTTTCGCTCTTCTTTAACAAAATCCATCATTTTTAATCTGGTCCAAATCTTCAAAAACCTTCAAGTTCCATTTATTTACGCTTTCATTTTCTCTTTATTGGGTTTTTTCTCCCATCCCTTGTTAACTTCTTATATTGGGAGCTTGGGGATTAAAGGCTTGGAAAAAAAAAAAAAGCTGTTTCATTTAGTTGCTTCTTCTTCAAGATCTTATCTCACTCTGCTTACAAATCAAGCTGAAAATTTTCTTCTAGGAAATTGATGCTAAAATTCCCTCGGAATTTTCCTCTTGGTTTTAAAGGACGTCGACTTGAGCTACGTAGAATGGTTCTCTAGCTTAAAGTTCTTTGCAGAAAAAGATATAACAGAGTAAAACAGCGCAAAACAGGGGAAATATAAAGGAAGTTTCAATGGATTCAAGTACCCATCAAAGCTATCAAAACCAAAACAACCAGCCCAATTCAGGGTTATTACGTTTTCGTTCAGCTCCAAGCTCTCTTCTCGCTAATTTCACCAATAACCTTGATTGTGGGGTCAATAAAGGCAGTTTCGAGTCAGACAGATTGATATCCAGATTCATGAATTCAAGCGGCGGCAACAGCGAAATCGAGGATAAATCTGGGACAGAGGTCGGTGTTCACTATGCAAATTCGCAGCAGAGTTACTCAGGGTTACCGCCTCATTATCCGAGGCAGAGCTCTGCCACGAGCTCCTCTGCTATGGATAGCTCATACGAGTTATTGGGAATGGATCATCACAGTCAAGGGAAACCGATTGCTTCGAGCCTAATGAGGCAAAGTAGCTCGCCCCCGGGGCTTTTTACCAACTTGTCTGTTCAAAATGGTGTTGTTCTTGTTCTCATTTATGATTATCAGTTTTTTTTGTTGAGGATTTTAATGCTTTTTCTGGGACATTTTGGTTGGTAGTTTAGACTTTAGTTTAACTATTTTGGCAGTTGTCTGTCTTGTCATTTACGATTGGAGAACGACCTATACCCATTAAACTTTAAAGTTAGCATTTTGGTTGTGCTAGATAGATTTGGTGTTGAAATATGGATCTAGCAGCTGATAGTAATTAAGCTTTTTGTAAATTAAAATATAGACCACTCAGTTAATTTGGTTGCTTAGTCTTTACTAATAGTTAGATTGAGTTTATACTAATATTTGATTGGGGAATTTTATTTCACGTATATAAATCAAGAATTTTTTCTTTTCTTTTTTTTTTTTCCCCACCTCATGTGGTTGCATATAAGCTAACCAATGAAGCTCTTATTGGTAAGAGTGGAGATTTAAGGAATTCTTTGATAATTGTTTTTGAATTTCTGGTTGGTTATGGAGGAACCAGAACCAGGGGTAAAAGAGAAGAAAATATAATCCGTTCTTCTAAGAAAATGGATTTAAAATCCTATAGGTCATGTAGAGTTAGAATAGCATGGGATTGGCGACTTAGATTCCATTAATGCTAAATAACTGTTGAACTTTTAAAATTTCACATAAATTTTCTCACAAACAAAATATTTAATGGAACCTGGACATTTGAGGTTGTGTTGTGAATCCATTGTTTGTAATGTGAATCCAGCAAACTTAGTACTGAAAATGTCTTCAGTAAATTGCAGGCTATGCCAGCATGAAAGGTCTGGGAAACTACTGTGGGGTTAACGGTACTAATGGAGAATTAAGTTCATCTTCAAACAGATTGAAGAATCAGATTAGCTTCTCATCAAGACTACCTTCTTCCTTGGGCATATTGTCGCAGATTTCTGAAATTGGCAATGAAAGCATTAGGACTGATGGTCCTGATGATGGCAAACTTGGAAATAGCAACAGTGATGCTCGATTCTATGGCACTGGATACCAATATGGTTCTTGGAATGATTCTGCACACCTCACAAAGAATTTTTCTGGCTTGAAAAGGGCACAGGATAATGACCGGAAGTTCTTTTCCACTAACCAGGTATAGATTTGCCTATCAACTCTAGCTTTTGTTAAATTCCTCAAAAAAGTTATAGCTTTCTTAATTCTTTGTCACTGCATCGATTTTAACTTTTGAGTGATTCTTTATCAATAGAATGATCTTGGAAATTGTGTTCATGTATTATCTCACCACTTGAGTCTGCCGAAGACTTCAAATGAGATGGTTGCCATGGAGAAGTTTCTACATTTTCAAGATTCAGTCCCTTGTAAGATTCGAGCTAAGCGTGGTTGTGCTACTCATCCTCGAAGCATTGCAGAAAGGGTAAAAATACCTACATTTCAAACCTGTTATAGTCCTGCTCTTACTAATTGCCTCCTGATCAGATATCTAGCGATAATTTCAAATTTCACCATATTTTATATGATAAGAGACCGAATTAGAAATTATCAAATTATTCTAGTACATATGCAAAAGCAAACGAATATAGAAGTATGCGTACACACACAGTCAACTTGAGATTTTTGTAGCTACATTGTTTGTACAAAATTTGTCCATTTCATAAAGAGGAATATAAAGGGTAAATTACTTTCAGGTGAGAAGAACCCGGATCAGTGAACGGATGAGAAAGCTACAGGAGCTTGTCCCAAACATGGACAAGGTATGATTTTTTTCTTGCAGTTTTGGGCAGAAAACTCTTGTCTGTGAAACTGATTGTTTCGGGGTTTCATGTTGGCAGCAAACAAATACAGCAGACATGTTAGATTTGGCAGTGGAGTACATCAAGGACCTTCAAAAACAGTTCAAGGTACCTGAGGAGAGCCTAATCTTCTAACTAAACATTCTTGACTGATACTCTTTTTTCATCTTACAGATGCAATGATATTCTTTTGCAGACTCTTAGCGACAATCGTGCAAACTGCAAGTGCTTACATATACAGAAGCCGGTCCCTAAGCAAGTTGTATGATTTGCTTTTGCTTCTGTACAAAGAATAGGGAAAGTAACGGAGAGAAGGGGACAGAATTTTGATCTGAATCGTTGATCTTTCTGATGTGCTGAACCAAGTATAAAGGAACGTTTAGGTTTTTTCTTTTTGCCCTTTTGTCATGTAAAAAGTATGGTTGCATTTCCACCACAAGATTCCAAAATCCTGTAAGCTAACAAAGCTTCCCACTTGGAAGATATATGGAATAAAGAGAAAGTTGTACAGGACATGTTTTTGTATTGCATTCCCCGTTATCATTTCTCTCTTTTGAAATGTGATTCGGTCAGTTTTTAAGAGTCAATGATTTTCAGTTGAAATCCCCTTTTTAAGTATGGCTGGCTTCTATATGTTGATCATCCCATTAATATGGCCCTTGAACCAACCTTATCCTCAAAGGACGCTATTGAATGCAAAACCAGTTGCCCGATCTGACTAATTTCCTTTCTTTATATTGCGGAAAGGGCAGGGAAAAAGAGTAGTGCAAGGAAATAGTCAAGAAAGCTGGCTTTCTCCTTTCTCCAGAGGATGGTACTAAAGCCCCCAACAAACTAACAAAAGCTCTTGCCTAAATGATAGATTCTGTCAAAAACTATGACCTCGGAAACCATATCAAATACTGTTTTATTTTTCAATATATATATATATATATATATATATTGATTTCTATATAGTACTATGTATTACATAGTTGTGTGTTTGAGTTTACTAGTCATTTCTGCAGAGTAATATCGCATTGATTTTTATGTATCTTTTAATTTTAAGAATTGTATTAAAATTCTTTAGCTTTTATTTTCTTCTTTCATCCTCTATTCATTTTATCTTTAGTTTCAAATTTTGAACTTAATATTCTGTAGGAGAAAAATAGTTTTCTTTCATCTTTTGATTTTTTTAATCTTAAATTTCAAATTTGAACTCTGCTTTATCATTTTTTAAAATAAAAACCAGGACTTTAAGATCGTTGGCAATAAATAATTAATATTAATATTTTTTTATTGGCAAAAGAGAAAATTTACATTAAAGGAAAAAAAGAAAAAAAGAAAGGTAGGCTCATAAAGTTTAAAAAGGATCCACACCAAAATTGGGTGTCCATGCAACACACCAAAACATTTCTTCTAAGGGTCGCAATAAGCAAAAGCCGTTAAATGGGTCCCGCACTGACCGTTGGTGTTGGCTTTCTCCTTCACCTCTTAACAGAAAGCCTTTCAATAAATCCGCCATGAACAGAATTCTCTGATCTTTCTACCTCTTCCTTTTCCTTTCCCAAACCCTAACCCTAACCCTAATTTCCAGTTTTCCATCTTCACCTCTTCCCATTGCCCCACAATTCGCCATTTCGCCCTCCGCCACATTTCTGCCTTGATCTTATGATAATGCCATGCAAAGCTTCATTTCTTATGTTTACCAGATCCACCTGATTAATCTTAACCGCCTTTTCTGTGTGATTTAGTTGTTGTGTTTTATCATCGAAATAACCCGTGGGTTTTGCGTGGTGGATCAATTAGAGAGGGAAATTTTGATTGGGTGGTGACCATGTCAAACTTTTATGGGGATTACAATCAAAAGATTGATTATGTATTCAAAGTGGTGTTGATTGGGGATTCAGCAGTTGGAAAATCTCAGCTTCTGGCACGTTTCGCTAGGAACGAATTCAGTGTGGATTCAAAAGCCACAATTGGTGTTGAATTCCAGACTAAAACACTTGCCATTGATCACAAGACTGTTAAAGCACAGATTTGGGACACTGCTGGCCAAGAAAGGTAAAAGTTTTTCTTATATATGCCCGAAATTTTCAATTTTTCCATTTGCATAATTGCTAGATTTGAGGGAAAGAAAGAATTAGAGTAGAAAATGCCAAGGGATGATTATATTATATCTCATCTTTTTACCTACCCAAGGAACAATTAAATAATTGAGCAGAATGCGTTTCATCATTTCAAGCTAAGAAAATTAGGAAAATATGTACATTGGAAGTGAGGTAGAACTGCGTCTATGATGTAGGGGGTGGAATAAGATTTAGACAGGAAAGTAATATCTTTATGCATTTTGTAATGACGAATTAGTGGTGCTCCAGGCCACCAGCCTAGTGCGAAATTCTGGAGATGATGATATATTGGTTGGTTGAAGACCACTAGTCGAAGCCAAGAAATTTGGTAGCTTGAGATTTTCTAATTATTGGTTAATGTGAGGCAGATCTTTATGTTGCTTCTCTTTCAATCGAAGGAATAATGACGATGGTAAGTTTGTTTAGTGTGGACTTAAGTGCTACAATTTCTATCAGTGATTTGATCCTAATGCTGGTTTGAAATCGTAAAGTGCAATAATATAGCAGCTGAGCTGCTAAGAATTACCACTTTCCAGGTTTTCTCATGTTCTGGGCTCTCCAGGAATGGTTTTAGGTGGAATTTAACAGGAAAATTCTTGGTCCTCCAATAAAGACTTAAATTGTTGGTGTCATTGTTGTTGAAGATACAGTCATTTTCCAACAGTTAGAGATCCTAAAACTTTTTCAACTGAGAAGAGATAATGAAATGTAATAGCCAGTCACTGATGCTGTTGTCTGTTAAAGCCTTTTTCTGACAGCTTCCCTAGTTATAAGCCCTTGTTATTCTCTTCCACCAGGAAAAAATTTAAATTAGAAAAGAAGAAGAAAGAAGCAAAGAACTATTTGATGCCCACCAGTAAAACATCAAGAAACAATGAGAATGAGGACCTTCCAGAAACATGTTGGAGTGTTGTTTCCATCTCTTATAGTTACAATGCCAACATCATAGGAATTAGTAAAACATTTTCCATGTACCTTATGCTACTAATAAGCTTTTCCTCTTTCACTTATGATGGCGTCGTGTTATAGTTTTCTCAAGAGTACATCAAAGTTATTGCTTCAGTATTTTCTGACTTTGTGAATTGTTTGTTTGAACTTTATGGTTTATTTGTTGGGTGGATTTATTCATCAAACAAGCACATAAAAAGGATTGTGGCCTAGTATTTTACTGTCATGGGGTCTTGGTTTATAGCTGCACCATTTTACTCAATCCTGAAACCACTGCATGATGATTACTGTTTCTTGTGTCTATGCTTTAACTTAGGGAAAAGTTTGATTTTTACTCTGCAGAATCCCTCTTATCATTAGGTAACTCAAATTACATTTACATATAGACATCGGTAGTCTGGCTTGCTCTCTGAATTTCAGTGATACGTTTTTCCATTCATGTGCATTGCCAAGTTTCTAACAAGAATATCTTCGTGCTCCTCCATGACATTTGACAATCCTTATTCTGCTTTCTGTTTCCTTCTTTATCTTGGTCATGAGCATTCCATCTTTTCCATCAATGGTATCTTCATTTCGAATGCAAACTCAGTTATAGTTTTGATAGCTCATTAAAGTTATTCCTGAATACATTTCCTCATGAAGGATAGGGAATCCGATTAGAATGAAATCTCTTAGAAGTGTATATCATAAAAGATTCTATTTGGTCTAGTTGTAACCAGACATGTTATTCTTGTCTCCTACATGATGCTAGTTTTGAGATGTGTGATAAATTTCCTGCCATTTCACCTGAACAACAACAAAGTCTCATCATTGAGTATGCATGCCACAGATTATACTGTCAGTACTCACTCTTTTCACTCTCACATACACCACAAAGCAAGAGAATGACTTTCAAAGGTTGCCCTAGCATTCCAACTATCAAATTTATTTACCCCAAAAAGCATCTCTATAGTTTTTCCAAGAGATATACTACAAAAACTATATACATGATATTCTTTGAGGTCTTGTATTCTTGAAATGGTCCTTGAATCTGTGGAGGACCATGAAAAATTTTCTGTTTGCATCTAGAAAGTCTAACTGAAATGTGCATACATCCTTTGTATCTTTGGCAATCTTTTTCCCTCCTATTAGCCTCAAGATTACTTTGTCTTATCCAGAACAAAAGCCCATTGAGAAGTGTTAAAAGCTCAGATGAGTTGGCCACACATTTTTTTCCAGATATTTTGCTATGCAATTCAATTACTGGACATCTATTTTGGATCACTTAACTGCTATTGTGCTAGCTATCTGCTATTTTTTTGTATGTGCTTTTGCACAAGCACATGCATGCATGTATTATCTACACTCTGCATATGTGTCTTTTTACATGGATGTCAATACATGTTTGCATGCTTGTACGTTTTATATGAATGTGCCAGTGCCTCTCTTGGATAATATACTCACTTCCACTGCAAAGCCACTCTCTCCACTCCGTTACTTGAGCACATGGTAGAGCTCATATAGAAACTCATGTTCCAATCACACAGGAAGTAACAGAAGTATACTGTGTTTTGTTATACTTATGATTGACTTGCCAACAAAATAAGCGTTGTGATTTGGTTTGAAATTGTTTTGTTTTAGTGAATCTAATAGCCCTGAATTTATTGAAAAACAACAGAAGTTTTCCTGTTAGACTAGCACTGAACAAGATAAGCAGAATTGTATAGTATGATATTGCTTCTTTCTTTCATTTTTTGTCTGAATCCAATAGCCTTAAATTGACTGGAAATTTTGGTGATATTCTACATTGTTAAGTGTTTGATGATATAGAGAATTTTGGCAACTGAAGGGAGAAGAACAATCACAAACAAACACTTGCGCACAACAAAGTAGGTGATAGAAAATTGATAAAGATTCTTGTTGTCTTTGCACTTTATGTTGTCAGAGAGAATTGCTGTTAAGCTAAAGTTCATGAATCTGAATCTGTCATCTTTACTCAAGTAGATTGATGCTACATTGACAAGCATATTTGGTTTATTTTTTGAGATTTTTATAGCAGTTCAAGCAAATCAATGAGATTGTCCGATAGATTTATGACTATATAAAGTGAAAAAAAGTGAGTCTATCTGAAAAGATCCACAAGTTCTGCAGGAATCAGATTGAATCTATAAAAGAACCCTTCATTCTTTCCTTTATGCAGTATATGTATGCTGGCTAAATTTCATTATCGGTGATGCACATTTCATCCAATAAAATAATGAATTGCATCTTATTAGTTCATTCAACAAAATTGAAAGGAAGAAATTTGATTGATTAGTTTGTTTTGCATTTTCTTCCTTTACAGATTGATGATAACAATTACCTTGCTTTAGAAGACTAGGCACATAGTAAGTAACAATTAGAGTGCTAATCTTTCTTTTTTGACGTGGTGATCGTAGTGCTTGCTTTTACTATGTGGACCTAGTTAAAATTAAATCGTTTTCTCTGACATCGGTCTAGTTGCTTTGGATTCACACAGTATTTAGTCATTTTAGTGTGTATAGATTAAGACCAAAGTAACACAGTAATGCCTGATGTATTTACAAGCTCTTGGACTGTGTTTGTCGCATCACGCAATTGCATTTTATTTCCTTCAAATTGAATGGTTTGCTGAAGTTTTCTTCTTTCCGTTCTCCTATCAGGTATAGGGCGGTGACGAGTGCATACTACAGAGGAGCAGTAGGAGCGATGTTAGTGTATGACATGACCAAGCGCCAATCGTTTGACCACATGGCAAGGTGGCTAGAGGAATTGAGGGGGCATGCTGATAAGAATATCGTAATCATGCTTATTGGCAACAAGTGTGACTTGGGAAGTCTGAGAGCAGTGCCAACTGAAGACGCACAAGAGTTTGCTCAAAGAGAGAACCTGTTCTTCATGGAGACATCAGCATTGGAATCCACCAACGTTGAAACTGCATTTTTGACAGTTCTAACAGAGATATATCGAATCATCAGCAAGAAAACCCTTGCTGCTAATGATGAGCTAGATCCCAATGGCAATTCAGGTCTTCTTAAGGGAACCCGGATTATTGTTCCCAATCAGGAGCTGCAAACAGAAAGGAAAGGTGGCTGCTGTGGATGATCCTAATTCTAACAGGCCCCCCTTTTTCTTTTTTCCCAAACTTTGTTTTGATACAATACTTTTTGCCAGACTTTTTGATTTGTTAATTTAGGTTCTTTTTTGTAATTCTTAAGAAAAGCATATCAGTATTTTTTAGGAAAGGTTATTCATTTTCTCGGGTGACAAGAATGACGTAATGTTGATTAATTAACTTGGTGTGCATATATATATATTAATTTCCGCAAAGTTAACATTGAGGTGAATGATAATATTATGGAATGAGGCCTATATAGTCCTACACTACTACTATTACGTTCAAATTGGCTCTGTATGAGATGGAAAATTTGTCTATTTTTATACATTTTTAATTCTTTCTTAATATTTATCAAATATAATAAAAAAATTATATTAAAACATTCGTGTCAAATTTATTATAATCTTTCTATTTATTCTTTTTTTTTTTACATTTTTTTTCATAACAGAATTCAATTTTTCAAATTGACATCCCTACATTAAGTACAAAAATCGAAGAAAATTATTTAATAAATATTTTTTTAATTTATATATATAATTTTAAAAACAAATGAACTTCTTGAGTATCTAAATCAAATGTAAATATATACAATTTTCCAATTTGACAAGAAAATAGTTCTTGAATTCAAGATTATTATTTTATCACAAGGAACAAATTAACCAATTAATCTAAAGTATCTAACCTCATAAGTATAAATGAAAACTAAATTCATGTGAGCTTGGAATTAATCATTATAGTTCGTTTGACAACCCAAAAATGACTTATTGGAAGAAAATTTTTTCTGTATAAAATATTTTATAGGAAAATTTAATATTTTTTGTTGTTTGGATAAACTGTCAAAAATATTTTTTATTATTTGGATCATTTTATAAAAAATATTTTTCATCATGTGGAGTTATTTAAGTGTTAAAATAATAAATAAGAGTTGAGTACAAAATATGATATTTGATTTTCACTAATTTGAGATAAAAATTAACATAAAAATGAAAATAAATAAAATCAATAATAATATTTCCCAAAGCATTTAACCACAAATCTATAATCAAAATAAACTTTAATTTTTTAAAAAAATTTCATCTTATCACTTTTTAATTATAACTATAAAAATATAAATATTCATCAATTGTGTAAGATAGCCAAAACTTATACTTATAAATATATATTCATTAAATAACAATTATTGAAATATTTTTTATTATAATTATTTGTAAGATTTAAACCTATTTTTAATATATATTCATCAAATGATGGTTATTGAAATATTTTTTATTATAATTATTAGTAAAATTTATTTCATTTATATAAAAAAAATTTAATTGTATTGAATGGTTTCATTAAAATCATATTTTATAATTTAAATATTATTACTTTAATTAATTATTTTAAAATTAAATATTAATATCCATCAAACTTATATTCATAATTTAATATAAAAGTATTTTTGTTATTTTCTAGAATATATCTTACCCCTTTTAAGGGCATAAAATATTTTTTATAATTAATTTTATTGACTCGTAAAATATTTTATATTTAAAATTAATTTTTCTTTTGTCAAACAAGCATAAATCTTAAAAATATTTTTTTAAAAATATTTTATTGAAAAACAAATTAACCCTTAACACCAAACCAAAGCCATAACGTATAATTTTAACTTTTGATTACCATAGGATTTTAATTTTATTTTTATTTATGGTGGGTTTTCTTTCTTGTTGTGTTTTTTTACTATTAGTAATTTGTAATTTATGTTTTCGTTTTCCTAGTATCATTAAACTATCGCTAGGGTGAGCAAAAGAGCAATCGTAGCAACCAAACACGACTGCACTTAAGCGCCTAAACTCAAAATTTGAAAATTAGAAAAAGCATGCAAAGCGAAGGAACGCATACTTGCACGTGCCAAACATTTTCCTGAAACCACCTGGGAGTGGGATGGCAACTCCTTTCCGCCTATAATGCCGCCCATTTTTCATTTTGAAAAATTTGCCAAACTCGCCTCTCCCTCAAACAACAAAGCGCTCTCTCTCACTTTCTCTCTGTCCCCTTTTATCTTCTGCTGAGAGACCCTTCATCACCGTCAAACCGTATCAAGAAAACCCCATTTCTTCCAGAGGTAAATAAACTAACCCAACCCCTTTTCTCAGTCTTTCTTGCTTTCTTTCTCGTTTTCCATCTTTCTTGGAAATTTCAGATACCCATATTCGTTTTCTTGTTTTTTTTTTTTTGTCTTTTTTCAGTCAGTTGAAACTATGCAATGGCAGATTCAAGAGACAGAATCACGAGAGCCGTTGATATAGCAGAAGTCTTCGCTCGAAGACGGTCTGGACCTTTGGGGATTCTCTCCGATGAAGCACAGGAGTTGTTAGCCTCCCCTGTTCAACGACCGGTCACTCGTAGGCCAACGGGTGTTGCTGTAACTACTTCTACGTCGCGTGGTGGAGGGCTCCGCAGGGGTAGCAGTTTTGGGACCCAAGATCCGGAATTAGAATTGGCCGTAATCTGTACCGATCGCCGGCTCCTGGAAGAGAGAATGCTCTGGTGAGTGCATGGGGCGTGGACGGGGTCGACTTACGGGCAGTGTGTTACCTTCTTGGTACCCTAGAACTCCTCTCCGTGATATTACTGCTGTTGTAAGGGTAATGCTTGCTCTCTCCCTTTTTTTTTTTGGTGATATGTTACTTAAGGGTTTTGATTCTGTATTTTGATCTCTTTCTTTGTTTTCTATGTTCACTTCTAAAAGGAAAAAATATTGATTGGTTTATTTTGAACTGCACTAGTTACTTTTGCCAGAGAGATTCTTGCCATTATGATTATTCAACCCCTGATTTATGAATTGTCATGGTTCGGGCTTCATTTCCTTTTGTTTGATATATTTTGGTCGTTTATTGAATACTTTCATATGCAATTTGATTGGTTTTGGTATTTATTGTCTTTTTTTCCCTTTATTTCCAATATGTTTAATGATTGTTGAATTTTGTATTATCATAGAAGTTGCTTGCTTGAATGAGCTTGATTTTACTTTTTCAGGTCTGGGTTTTTATCCGCTTGTTTACTGTTAGATGTTCATGTAATTGTCTACATTTTGTCAAGTTTATCTTTAGGCTCCCTTAGTACTTCTTAATAACCCGTAGTCTATAGCTCCAGTCAGTAAGGCTTGTCTAGTTCTCTCTGCTTTCTAGTTTCTAATAGTACATGGATGCATACTCCCTGTTGGTCTATATGCTATGTAGATTTCAGTCTGATATATTTACTCCAGTTGTTGTATTTTGTTTTTTCTTTTCGTTTTCTTTTTTCTTCTGATTGTTGGTATATGGGTTTCGTCAGCTGTGTTAATGAGATGTCCATTCATTACACTTGCACTGTTACTATGTCATCCTGTCAAAAACCCATTTTGGTGCCCTATCCTTTCAGCCAAAATGGAGAGCTTCATATCGTACATTAGATAAGGCGCTCAACTCGAGCTCCAACAGAATGGCCAGAGTTTATCTTTGTTTTCTGTGTGTCAAAGTTGGAAAGAAATTTCTCATTTCTTTCGGTTGTTTATTTTGAGGACAAGCCTGATTAGCTTAGGATTTGTTGGACTGTATAAGATTTGAGCTGAAATAGAGTATGTTCAGATAATTATATAAGTTATATAGTTAAGAGTTTTAATACAATACTATTACCTAGTTAGATTACAATATCTAGTTAAGAATTATATTATAATACTATTGATTAGATAGAGATGGATTATGAATAGGATAAGTTTTATATGTGTGTGTGTGTGTGTGTGTGTGTATGTATGTATGTATGTATGTATGTATAACTTATGCAATTTTATAGCAGAAGAGTTCTCTTCTAGTAATATGGTATTTTTTGTTGTTGTTTGACTTGGGGTTTTCTTAGGCTTGCTGAGATAATTAAATTGATGCGAATTTAACCAGGCCATTGAAAGGAGGAGAGCTCGTTTAGGAGAAGGCGAAGGCCAAATACTTGAGAGCCCAATGTCTCAAGACGAGAGGGTTCTTAATTCAAATATATCATCAGGTGTTCAACTCGAGCACAATTTCTCCACTCCAGCTTCAACTGCCAGAATGAAGCCTTGCCCTCAATCAGTCCGTAATGTGTCAAAGATTTTGCTTAATGTCACGAATCAGAATGGTGAGGAATCAGAGATTCTTACACCCCAAAAGAAACTCTTGAACTCAATTGATACTGTAGAGAAAGCTGTGTTGGAGGAATTACAGAAAATGAAGAGGACTCCCAGTGCCAAGAAAGCAGAAAGACAAATGAAAGTCCGCACACTGATGTCAATGCGTTGATGTTTAGTGCATTATGCAACCACAAGGATTGGGAAGACAGCATCAGTTAGAACAACTGGGAGGCTAGAGATTGAAAGCCACCTTGCAGCGGGAAGCTGGCTAATCATCCTCTGATGATATGTTCACGTTGTTGAACTCGAACACCAGATAGCATAGATACTTTCTATCTTCTTTTACAGTTTGACATATTACTAAATGACTCACTATAGGATCATTGCCAATTTTCCTTCAATCCTCGCTGAAGGCCCTGGTAGAAGATTGGTAAGCAATCTTGTTTTTCTCTCCTTCATTTTTTGAAGGGACCAGTGTAGGAATAGAAGGATTTGTTTCAAAATCATGTAGATATACAACTTGTTTGGACATGCTTCACATTTTTTCTTGGCTCTATGTTCATGTTACCATCACCATGTACTGATCAAGTATCATAAGAATGGATTTTAACAAGAATGGCTCCATTTTCATGACTTTTCTAGCATATTGAAAAATAGAATAATGATAAAGCTGCTATGTATTTCATTAATTTCCTGAAAGTAGCAGGAACTGGTTGTTAATTAAAGTTGAATATATCCTTGACCTGTCCTTTTGGATCATTCTAACAAGATTCATAATATGGTCAAGTTCAACCTGAAAAAGTATTGGCCACATGTCCTGTTTCTTTGACAAATAATGGAGTTTGAGTATGGTTTTGGGTGAAGCAGAGGGCAGTAGGAGGGGATGTGGGTGTGGATGATAGCCAGAGCAGGTTGTCATGAATCTTATATCAAAAAGGGGTGGAGTTGAGTTTTGGATTTATAAATAAAGGTTTATTTTCATTGGATATATTTTTAAGTTGAAAATGTAAATTTGTGATAAGTGTTATTAAAATTAAGGTATAATTTTTTTTTTGATAGTATAGAATATTATTGATTTCACATCAATAAGAGATTAGGTAGTTTACTTTCTATCCAAGGAACATATTTTTTGAATTAAACGTGGACAAGTGACATATCATATCTTTTTTTTTTTAATAATTTTTAAAACTATTTTTATTTGTTTCTTTTTTAATGTTTTTTCTTATATCCGGCTTACCAATCCAAGGTCTAATAATTTTGGGCTTTAAATCTAGAGTAACAGATTGGCCTTCTAACTAACAGGGTTTAAACCCAATTAGCAGTTAAACCTTGGACTCAAATTAAAATAAGTCCAAATAAAACAAGTTTTAAAAATTAATACTCTCAACAAGACTAAATATCGGTAATCATTCAACTTGAAACTAAAATTCACACTAAATGACTATACAAAATGGAATGTCTAGCCACTTTATTGGTTTCTCTTTTCTGAATTAGTAATTTTACTTACTAAAATTATTAAAATATCTTGAATTTCAAAGTAAACATTATATTTCTTTACATGTAAGGGTATCTTTATAAATTTATTGGGATATATTTATTTACATAAAAAAAATTGAGTAATGCTTTCATTTTCAACGAAGAGAACAAGACCTTTGCAATTATTTTGAATTTTTTGCCTGTTAACAAATAGAATGGAAATCTCTTAAAAATATTGATTTTGTCATTTTGTTGTAAAATTAATGCATGGTCCCTGATGATGGAGTATAAAAGCCAAAGAGATTAGAGTGGAACAGGTCAGATAATTGAAGGTTAGAACATCATTTTTAGGCGATGGGGACTATTTCTGCATAATGCACGAGGGCCACTGCAGTTTCCTTTTGTTGTTAATTAGAGAGGACCACTGCAAATCTCCATCTGCTTGTCCCAAATTGCCATAGCAAAGACCAAATATTAAGACTTTCCTAATTATCAATGAAACCCATATTTCCATTTTTCTTTTGGCAACAGACATCGACCAAATTTGTAATTCGCATATGGTCCCTGCCCTCAGTCTCCCTCCATGTTTGTCATATGCAGGAAGCAAACTTTGTGGAACAAGATTCTCTCCTAACAATTTCAAGGACTTTCTTGAGCATTGAAAAACTTGATTAAATCATAAACGATGCCGGATGAACCAAGATAATAAAATGGGACTATTTTTTTTAATATTTAAAAATAAAGTGTTTTCGAAAATAACCACATTTTTTATTTTCACTGTTTTTATTCAACAGAAAAGATTTTTTAATAAAATTATTCTCAATGAAACTTTCTCATATTTAAGTGCACATGTTGAAAAAAATATTATTATATATCATGTTGAAAAATGTTATTACATACTATATTTAAGGTGTTTAACTTCAAACGTTTATGTCCTAATGAAATACAAAAATAGAGACCAAATTACATACTATGCTTAAAAAATAATACTATTACACCTCATGTTCAAAAAAATATAATTATATCATGTTAAAAAAATGAAAAAAAATTGTTACAGCTATATTTAAGATATTTAACCTCAAGAGTTTATATTTTAGTAAAATACAAAGATAGAGATCAAGTTGTTTAAATTGGTTTTGTGAATATAAATCAATAAACTTAAAAACATATCATCTCTCTTTGGTCTATATATTGATGACAATATGACGAAAAATAAACAGAAAGAGATGACAATAGTGGTAAAATTAGAAAGAGCTTAGTGGCGAGAGAGAGAAATTGAGAACACAATAGACAAATGCGAGGAAAAGAAATTGATAAAATTAGAGAGAATTAGATGGTGAGAGAGAGAAATCGAAAACACAAACAGATGTTGGAGAGAAAAATCAAGAGGAAAAAGTTTGTTTAATTTGTCAAATCATGATAAAATTAGGAAAAAACAGTTAATTTTGTATTAGAGGTTATTTTTTAAATGACCTTATGAAGTTAACAATTTCTCATAATTTCCTTTAATAAAATAGTTGTATATGCTTATATGATACATCATTTGTTAGTATAAATGTCTATTCAGGATTTGATCATGTAAATAAATCAATCACACCATAGCTTTTTTAATTGAAATATACCCAAAATAATACTTTTCATTAATATTAGCATGGAATATTTAATATATAAATGTCTGTGTATATGTTATATAAATCCTAAACGATACCGGATGAACATAAATAATAAAATAGTTGTATATGCCTATATGATACATCACTTAAAGTTTGCAATTAGGACTGGATCATGTAAATAAATCACACACAATATAGCTTTCTTAATAAAAATATACTCAAAATTAAGTAATTCTTATAATTATTTAGTGCATACTCGTATTAGTATGTGTTATATATTAGTTATTTATTTGTTTGATGAAAGCGATAGAACGCAAAAATTAGGGATGAAACTCTATAAAAGCATGTTAAAAGTCCAGCATTTACAACACTTAAGAAAAAGAGAAACAGCCTTTGTCCAATTTGCGATGGCCATCATATCTAGTGACATTCTCTATTACCCTCTCTTTTTGATTTGGTTCAGCACTGCTCTCCTAGTCCACTCTTTCATCAAAAGATTCCTGAAGCCTTCTCGCACCCCAGTTCCAGACCCACCGAGCCCACCTGCACTCCCACTGGTCGGTCACCTCCATCTAGTCAGCTCCGTCCTACCCAAATCTTTCCAAGCCCTGGCTGGACGCTATGGCCCTCTCATGCAGATCCGTCTGGGTGCATCATCTTGCGTTGTTGTATCCAACGCCACGGTTGCCAAAGAAATCTTCAAAACTCAGGAGCTTAATTTTTCTTCCAGGCCCGAATTCGGTTCGTCAGAGTATTTCATTTATAGAGGCTCAAGGTTTGTCCTGGCTCAATACGGTGACTACTGGCGTTTCATGAAGAAACTTTGCATGACAAGGCTCCTAGCCGTCCCTCAACTAGACAAGTTCGCCGACATCCGAGACCAAGAGAAGGTCAAGCTCGTGGAATCCGTGATGAAACGTTGCAAAGAAGGGGAGCCCTGTGATTTGAGCAGCGAGTTAACCACCCTGACGAATAATACTATCTGTAGAATGGCAATGAGCTCACGCTGTTCGGGGAACGATAACGATGCTGCTGAGATTAAAGAGTTGATTCGGACATGTTTGCAGCTTTCAGGGAAGATAAGCGTAGGAGATGTATTGGGTCCCCTGAAGATATTGGATTTCTCTGGAAACGGCCAGAAGCTTAAGTCAGCGTTGCTGAAGTATGACCGGTTGGCGGACAGGGTCATCAAGGAACATCAAGAGGAGGCCATGAAGGGTTTGGATAAGAATCAAAGGAAGGATCTGTTGGATATTTTGTTGGAGGTTTACAGAGACCCAACTGCTGAAGTGAAGATTTCCATGAAGGACATCAAGTCTTTCTTGCTGGTAAGTTCTCTACCTCCTGCTAGAGATGTAAGCACTGAGCAAGCAAGATAAGTTGTTAGATTCGGACTATGAAAAAAAATTCCATTTTTCTTTGTTGTATTTAATATGGTTTAAATTAACATAATAACTACTATTTTGTTTGGTCAATTGAATTCGCCTTTTAGTCGTTGATGAAAATACTCAAATGAATCCCAAATCCAAACCAAATCCCATGATCAACGTTATTATTAGTTAAATCTTGAATAAAATTTAAATTGTTTTTAACTAAAAATGAAATAGCTAGATAATTAAGCTCAAAAGAATCATTAAAAAGCATTAAATATCTATTCAAAAATCTTGTAAGCAAATTGAATAGAATTTCGAATTCAATTGGTTTTTGAACTATTTACTTTCATTATTAATTTCTGTTTAGTTACTAGTTTGGTCAAGTCTGTTATTTGAGTTTTGAATTGAACTGGTTAGATATTATTAAGTCTGATTAAGTTGATTAGATTGATTTTATTACTTATATTAATAATAGATCATTGGACTTTAGGACATAAAAATAAGAAGTGTATTACAATCCATGATCTTAGGTATAAGGTGAATTACACAACTCTATAGTTAAGAAATAGTACAAGTTAATTAAAGGTGTAATATGAATTATAACATTACTTGAATTCGACTCATTTAGAAAGTAAAAACTCACCAATCATCAAACGCTTAACTTGAACCCCTTCAAATTTTACTTTCAAACAAATATATTTGACTGATCATACACTAATTAATTTCCATCCACTTTAGATAGAATGGTAGATATACAAATTAAATAGACTATACTTAAATTTATGAATTAATTAACTTAATTATATCCCTTGTGTTTTCAAGGCAAAATTTTTGACAAACTTGATGTATACATGAGCACGTAAATACTTTTATAGAATTCACACAAATTTATATTGTTAATTAAGTCCTATATATATATATATTCCATGCTATAAACAAATTGATTATGCATAATTGATCTTTGAATGCGGATGATAAGGATATATTCATGGCCGGTACCGATACATCCTCCGCAGCCATGCAATGGGCCATGGGGGAGCTCATCAACCACCCAAAAGCCTTTCAGAAGCTTAGAGATGAAATCAATTCGGTCGTGGGGCCTAACAGGCTAGTCAAAGAATCGGACGTCCCGAATCTTCCTTACCTCCGGGCAGTCATAAGGGAAACTCTACGGCTTCATCCTTCAGCTCCCTTGATCATCAGGGAATGTGCTGAAGATTGCAAGGTCAATGGCTTCATGGTGAAGGCCAAGACCCGAGTTTTAGTCAATGTCTTTGCTGTCATGAGGGACCCTGATTCATGGACAAATCCCAATGAATTCGATCCTGAAAGATTCCTGGAGAGCTCTGATGAAAGAATTGGAGAGCATCAAATGGAATTCAAGGGTCAGAACTTTCGGTACCTTCCTTTCGGGAGCGGTCGGAGAGGATGTCCCGGAGCCTCCCTTGCCATGTTGGTGATGCATGCAGCTGTGGGATCCTTGGTTCAGTGCTTTGATTGGAAGGTGAAGGATGGAGAGAAGGTTGATTTGAGCCTCGGATCAGGGTTCGCTTCAGAAATGGCTCGTCCACTCGTGTGTTACCCAATCGCACGTTGCAACCCCTTTTGAGAAAACATTATGAAAAGGTCCAAACAAATATTAAGGAGCTTTGTGTTTGGAAATTAATTAGTATTTCTTTTCCAACTGCCTACTTAATTTATTAGTTTAAGTTTCTGAGTTGCAAAAATTTCAGTTGTATAAAGGTTGTATTGTGTACGTTAGTATATATACATTATTGTGTTTATCAAAAAAAAAAAGATTGTGTTATTTATTTATTTATATATATATATATATCAAGAAAGCAAAAGTGAGAAGTGAAAGTTTTGAGACAAAAAGGAAAATTACTTATTATTCTATTTACGTGCTCAAGATCATATCTACTTTTACAAAAAATTATCTCGATTTGTCAATATTCTAAAATCAAGTCAAAATGAACTAAAGACTTAAAAAAAGAAAGGGTATTGACTAGATGGTAAGCAAGTTGCAAGTTGCAGCTTATGGTTAATTGATGCAAAAATCATTGCAGGCTGTGGGGTTCGAACCCACGCGTACTTATGTACAGAAGATCTTAAGTCTTCCCCCTTAACCTCTCGGGCAAACCTGCTGTTGATTCTTAGGCCGCATTATTATAGATTTAGAATAGGTAGCATTGAACTTAATTTAGTTTAACAACCTCTCATATCTATTTATACTATATATATTTTTGGTAGATCTAAGCATTGGATTTCATACTCTATTCACGTCGATCATGCATACCAAATTTTAAATTAATTAAAAATATCTACCTAATTTTTTGATATAATAAAATTTTGATCTTAATTTGAATATATATATATATATATATATATATGAAGGCAATATTCACAATTGATATGATAAATATATAGGATTGACATGAAAATTTACGTATATAACAAGCCCAAGTATATAACAAGCCCAAGTAGATTATTAAATCTAACAGTTGGTTTGTTAAAATATTAATAGGATACTAAGTTATAAAAAGAATAAAATACCAATTAATTGTATATTAATGTAATTTAATCCCTCCTCTCTCTCTTTCTCTATATATATACACTGCTAAAAGGTGTAAAAATATGAACTAGTAATTATGTTTGGAGATGACAGCTTCAATTCATTGACTTTTCAAAAGGGAAAAACAATTCATACTTATAATAAATATATATATATATATATATATATTAACATTGTAGCACCAATTATTCATGGTTTCACCCGCGAGATCAGATCCTAGGAAATCAAAAGTTAGTGCTTGGTTCCTTGAATCAACAAATTAAATATTGAACCAGAAATCAAGGCGTTAAGAAATTCGAACTCTAACATTGTTGTAATTTATTATTATAATGTATGGAAGCTATGAACTATGCCCAAGCAATCATCGAATTCCCCTTCAAATAATCTTCGTTTACTTGCAACCCCATGTCCTAGGGAATCGAGATTCAAGTGAGTCAATTGCAAGCTTTAATTAACAAACTATCACAGTCGCATATCATGTACTTGATATGATTTTAGTATACTGGGGGCACGTGACCGCATGATAGAGTTTCATACATGCATAAAGTTTGATAAAATAATAGTTTCTTTTGGGTGAAGATATAATTAATTCCTTATGTTCTGAAGAATAAAATTCAAATGTTTTTTATTTGAGGGAAGACGAGATTTAAATTCTATTAAAAAAAGATAAATCATATATTAATTATTGAATTAAATGTTAAAAAACAAAATCACTACTCAGTAATTGATGATAAATAATTCTATAGTTTATTTTCTCTTTATAAGGATATTTAAATGGTTAACGGTATAATTGAAATTTTAATTTGAAAATCATAGATTTAAAGTATTGAAATGTGAAGGGTGGGATTTATGAGATTAGAGATGGTAACTTCATTTTATGACTCAATTTACTTAGGTATGTACAAAAAAAAAATCATTCAAAAATATATTATTAATAAATTATTGAAATATTATACTGCATGACGATGATAAGGAATACCATATATATGTAAGGCTTTAATTACCTTTAGTACGATGAAAATTTATATTTGTCTTTCATTAGCAATAGCACCTGCTGCCATGGCCACAAGCACTATGTTGTTGCACTGTAGCAACCCTATCTTCGTTTCCATTATTTCAATTATCATCATTTATTTGCTCATCAAACTATGCACAAAACCAAAATCCTCCGTCCGCTACCCTCCCAGCCCTCTAGTTCTGCCCATTATCGGCCATCTCCACCTCCTAAGCTCCTCATTGCCCAAGTCTTTCCAAACCCTAGCTCGCCGCTATGGCCCCCTCATGCGCGTACACATAGGCCAATCTATCTTTGTTGTTGTTTCTGATGCCGCCATGGCGAAAGAGGTCCTGAGAATCCATGACGGTGAGTTCGCATCCAGGTTTGAATTTGGTCCAGCTGAGTACGGCATCTACAAAGATGCTGGTTTCATCACCAGCCCTTATGGCAGGTATTGGCGGTTCATGAAAAAGCTTTGCATGACAAAGCTCTTTTCCGGGCCACAGCTGGATAGGTTCAACCACATCCGAAAGGAGGAGATTATGAAGCTGCTGAAATCATTGATGAAGAGGTCTAGAGAGGGGAAATGGTGTGATTTGAGTGCGGAGTTAGCCAACTTGACCAACAACTTGATATTCAGGATGGCAATGGGCAAGAGATTTTCGAAGGGTGGGAATGAGGCCAACGAGATGTGGAAGTTGGTAGTGGAGATAATGGGGCTTGCTGCAAAGCTAGGAGTCAATGAAGTGCATGGTTTGTTGAAGAAAATTGACCTCTTCGGAAATGGGAAAAAGCTTAGAGAGGCACTTGAAAGGTATGATAGGTTAGTGGAAGAGATCATCAAAGATTATGAAGAAAATAGGGTGGATATTGGTGGGGGAAATGAAGATCTGATGCATATTTTGTTGGAGACTTACAGAGAAAAGAATGCTGAACTGAAGATAACAAGAGATCAGATCAAGAACTTCATTCTTGTGAGTTCTTAATTAGTTATATGTAATTGATTTGTATTGATGGTTAACCACAACTGACTTTTTTGGGTTGTATAGTTGCATTATTCTATCATTTGAGAAAGGAAATTACGAGTGATATATACACACAAACAACTTTTATTTAGATTTCAAAGCCGTTTTCTAGCTAATTTTCATTCTTTTTCTTTTCTTAAAATTAATTAAGCTAATTTCTTTGTGTCAAAATTTTGGTCAAACAATCTGATATCATAATCATTTGTGAGTAATTATATTTTAAAAATAAATATTTTTAATCCATTGCTTGAAAACTCAAACTTTTAAAATAATTGAGTGGTCTTTTGACTTGGGTATTAGTTTTGAGATTAATCCTGATATTTAGTTACTAATTCTTTTTTTTTTTTTTGCATGCTATTCCTGTTTTGCTCTATGAATTTTCAGCTAAAACTGATGCTTTTTAATGTGCAAAAAATAAAATCAAAGAAAATAAAAAAAATAGAAAAATGAAGTGTAGCTAGCGGGGACAATTTGTATGTATCATTTCCATGTAGGAGTCATGAAGGGAAAAAGGATAAACATTTACATATGGTGTATGATTATGAAGTATAAAAGATGAGTAAGACAATACATTTGGGAGAGGGAAAGTTTTTGTTTTTTTTTTGGAATTGTATGTTTGATAGCTACTTGAATCCAATTCCACTCTTTTGCTTCGAGCTGGGGAGTTATTTAACTTCTTTAACCAAGAATTGAGCAGCAATTAATTGTTACTTGAGCACTGAGTTTTGGTTAAGAAGATTTTTTATTACTAATTACAGCAAATATGTGACAGGAGTTGTTTATTGCTAGCATTGACACTTCATCCGCAGCCATACAGTGGGCCATGGCAGAGCTCATCAACCATCCGAAAGTCTTCAAGAAGGTAAGGGAAGAGATTGATTCAGTTGTGAAGTCCAACAGGCTAGTTAACGAGTCAGACGTGCCAAACCTCCCTTACTTGCAAGCAATCGCCAAGGAAACCTTAAGGCTGCATTCTCCGGTGCCTATATTTCATAGGGAATGCACCAAAGACTGCAAGATCAATGGCTTCGACCTCCAGGTCAAGGATAGAGTGCTAATCAATGCCTACGCTATTATGCGTCACCCGGAAGCCTGGAGTGACCCGGATAAGTTTCTTCCAGAGAGGTTTTTGTACAACTCATCAGGAGAAAACAATGGGGAATATTTGATGGAAATCAAGGACCAGGGTTTTTGGTTCCTTCCGTTTGGGGGTGGTAGAAGAGGATGCGCTGGTTCCTTGCATGCTTATCTAATTACGCATGGGACAGTTGGTGCCTTGGTTCAATGCTTTGATTGGAAAACCAAAGATGGGGAAAAGGTTGATATAAGTGTTGGGTCAGGCTTTTCCGGCGCAATGGCACTTCCTATGGAGTGTTATCCTGTTTTACGTTTTGATCCATTTCAGAAATGAAAATGGTAAAAGTAAAGTGGAGATTTAAAGTAGAATGTTTCTGAATGTTCCAAGCATTGTTGTTGGCAGTGTGAAGTAATTAAATAAATGATTGCAAGCTCCTAGAGCTTGTATGGATTTGGGTTTGGAAATGTCTGGGTTATCAAATGAGGTATTCCTGGTTTCTTAGGAATACTCTCCAAAAGTGTAGTAATCTAGGACAGGAAAAATTGTAAGCTTATATTTGATTGGAACACACTCTATCATTAATCTGTTTCTTTTTTTTCTCTCTTGAAACAGCAGTAAGTCTATTTTCTGATGCAATGAACAGTCATTTGGATAGTCTGCTTTTTAAGCATACTCTTCTTGTCCTGCTTGCCAAACCCAGAGTTAGCTTTTATTTATTTTACAATATCTAAATATTAAGCTAACACATCCAAGAAGAAGAAAGCACAGAGGAGGGGCAGAGGATTTCTATTTCCAAAATTTCTTTATTTGAATGATTTATCTGGATTAAACGTTAGGCTCTTAAGTTAATAATAAGATTATAAAGTAAGAACATACATTAAATAGATTAGAACTGGAAGGAGAGCAGGTATCCATTACACTTGATAATTAACAAAATTGTGGTTAAACGGTGGGTGGGTCGGTGCCTGTCATTTCTTGGATTAACAGTGTCTGCCTTGATAGCTAAGTCCAATTATATATGTCTGATACGCCAACCTCCCCATATGCAAAATTACTTCTCTCCATCTGCCATACCACTATTTCATGGCCCCTACAGTCATGGACTACTTCTACCATTTCTTAATCCTGATCATATCTACTCTTCTGCTAAATTTCTTGGTTAAGTCTTTCAGGAACTTCAAGTCCAAAGCCAAGTATCCACCCAGCCCTCCAGCTCTACCCATCATCGGTCACATTCATCTGTTAAAATCCGGATTACCTACATCCTTTGAAGCTCTTGCCAACCGCTATGGTCCCTTAATGCAGATACGCGTTGGAGCTACTAATTTTGTTGTTGCCTCCGATGCAAAATCAGCTCAAGAAATATTGCGAACGTTTGACACTGATTTTGCCTCCAAGTTTGAATCTGGTCCGACAACTTACCACATATATAAAGACAGTTCATTTACTAATGCTCCTTATGGAGCGTATTGGAAGTTCGTGAAGAAATTATGCATGACTAAGCTGTTTACAGGTTCACAGCTTGATCGGTTTATCCATATTCGGGAGCAAGAGACAAGCAAGCTCTTAAAATCGCTGCTGAAGAGGTCTAAAGAAGGAGAGCCATGTGACTTGGCTGTAGAGCTAACAGCTTTGACAAATAACATGATTTACAGAATGGCAATGGGAAGGAGATGCTCGAAGAATCCTAATCAAGCAGCGGAGATCAGAAAATTCATTACAGAGAGCATGAAATATGCGGCAAAGTTTCATTTTGGTGAAGTGTTTGGTCCTTTGAAGAAATTTGACCTCTTTGGAAATGGGAAGAGGCTGAAAATGAGTCTAAAGGGATATGATCAGCTGATGGAGCAGATTATGCAGGATTATCATGATAACGAGTTGAAGAATTGCGAAAATGATCAAGAGAAAGATGTGATGGATATTTTGTTGGAGACTTACAAAGACACAAGTGCTGAAGTGAAGTTGACTAGGGATCAGATCAAGAACTTTTTCCTGGTAATTACTTCTTGCACAATTTCTTACTTGAGAAGAATAGTTTCAGAATATTGATTACTGTTCAAGTTTAGTTTCAGTTGCAGTTGATAAGCTTAGTCTTAGGCTAAATCTTATTATTGAGTTCAAGCTGTTTTTCAATTATTTAGTTAGCAGAAAGATCAACTTCAATCCAAACTTATCAATTTAAGTCATGGTCGCTAAACTAGGACTTTTTGTCCTTCTGTTTTCCCGAAGATCATCTTATTTATTTAGCAGCCACCAGGAGTTCTAATTCAGAGTGATTTCAATACATTTTTTTTTCTCTTTTTGTTATGATAATATCAATCCACTTCTGCTTTAAGCCTTTGACATATCCAATGTAATGATGAGATTTCATCTAATCTGATCAATTTCTGCCATACGAAAAACAAAGGTAAAAAGATATTAATTTCATTTTTATGGTTAATTAAGTTGGGGAGGAGTGACCGTAACTCAAGACCTCCACTGATTTTTTTCTTTAGAATATCAGTGCGTTGTTGTGTTACTGCTATTCATCCTATCATATGAAAGCAACAAAAAAAATGCTGATTGAACATTCATGTCTGATATAGGAACTATTTATGGCTGGTGTGGATACAACAGCAGCAGCAATACGATGGGCAATGGCAGAGCTTATCAATCATCCCCACATATTCAAAAAGCTTAGAGAGGAGATTGACTCGGTTGCGGGGAACAATAGACTAATCAAAGAATATGATGCCCCAAAACTCCCTTACTTACAAGCTGTAGTCAAGGAAATCCTAAGGCTACATCCTCCAGGGCCCTTACTCCGCCGACTTTCCATCAAAGACAGCAAGATCGCTGGCTTTGATCTCCAGGAAGGGACTAGGGTTTTCATCAACGTCTACAAGATAATGAGGGATCCAAATGTATACAAGGAACCGGAAAAATTCCTGCCTGAGAGGTTCTTAGACAACTCTACTGAAATCAAGGGTCAGGATTTTCATTACCTTCCATTTGGTAGTGGAAGGAGAACCTGCCCTGGTGCATCACACGCTATGTTCGTGATGCATGCAACCATTGGAGCCCTGATACAATGCTTTGATTGGAAAGTCAAGGATGGGGAGAAAACCGATGCTGAACGTGGGGCTGGTTATTCAGGGGCATTTGCACTCCCCCTTGTGTGCTATCCCATTACCCGCTTTGATCCATTTGAGGCATAGGGCCAAGATTTGATAACTTGTTTTGTGCAAAGTTGTTGTTGATGCTAGTGCTAAGGGCAAGGAGCTGACTGGAGCTAACTATATATCTTGCCCTATGAATTATGCGTCTCACTTGTAAATTTTAATTAAGGGCACATCAGACACTGTAAGTTGAGTGAATTTTTCTTTCACGTCTATCACTAGAGTTTTAAGAAGGTCATCATATTAAGTTTAAGAGATATTAGTGTAATTCTGAAACATAAACTTATAATACAAGGTGCCTTAGATAATAAAGTTTAACAAACTTGAATTAAATTCGAAAGATTTGTTCAACTTGTTTGAATTTTAATTTAATTTGATATTAAATAAAAAAAATCAATCATATGAATCCAAAATAACCTGGATATAAAAATAGCTTAAACTTGATTGGTCCAAACTCGAAATAACTCAAATTTGATTAATTTGAAAAATTAACTTGAAATGATCTAAATTTTAAAAATATGTTCAAATTTAATTCAATTGCATTTTTAAAAGAGTCAACAACTTGAATTTAAAACGATTTTTTTTATAAAAAATTACGTAATTTTATTGCTTGATGCTCAAAGAAACAATTCCTTGAACTAATTAGTACAAAATACAAAAAGGAAATAAAATAATAAAATAATCCCCTAAGAATTAAAAACCGGATGTAGGGATCGGAACCATCTCCCACGCCTTAGACACATCAAACACAATTAGAGTACAAAAGAATCCCAAAATAGTTGATGTCCTAAAGCATATAAAAAGTCAACAACTTGAATTTAAAATGATTTAAATCTATATAAATCAACCATCAAATTCAAATAATTTAAATTTAAAATAAATCAAATTTGAAATACCTGGCTTGAATCCTATTTGTCCAATTGTCACCACTACTAGATGGAGTATATGAAAATTGCCAAACACAACCAATACAAACGGCAAACTAGAAAGAGAAGAGTTAATCCTACTGCCTTTTTTTTAATTTGTAAGATTTAAAGGTATGATTTATGTTATTATATTACATAAATATATGAAACCTATCATCTACTATATATTATATATCTATATCAAATTTGAAGACATCATACGCATCTGAGCATTTAATTCATTGTTTGATGTATGATCTTTTTATTTAAAGAGTAGAATTCGAATCCTTTTTTTCTCAAATTAAAAAAAAAAATTGAAGACATCATACATGAAGATGAGAACATGATGAAAAAATTTTAATTTCATTTGTTGATGTTTTTGTTTTGTATGGTAAAATAATAGAAAAAATGTAATAAATAAATAAATTAATTAAAAACAAAAGACAAATGTAAAAAATAAATAAACAATTAAAAACAAAAGACAAATGACGAAAAATAAATTATAAAACCATCAACCAACAGAGTTTTTAATATCTAGAGGCAAGTTTCGATTTTGGGATTAGTTTAGGGTTTAATGGGTTGTGGGTTTAAGCTTGGAAAAGAAAAATAGTTTTGGCTTTTGGATGTTTGGGTGGATAAAATTTTCTTGGAATAGTTCTTATCGTTTCCTTTGCTCTCATTTACATTAATGAGTTACATCAGTGTATTATAGATTCATATAGTTTTTTATTTAAAATAATTACATATTTTATCTATAGTCTTTAATATTGATTGCTTTGTGTTTTATTTTATTTTATTTGTTTGTCAATAAAGAGAAAATATTAAACGTACCAATCATGTTTCCAAATCTCAGAAAATTATGTAAAGATTGAATAATTAGACAGCAAATGTCTTATATGATCATCATTAAAAAAAAGAAATTAAATAAATCGAATAATGCAACTCTGATTACATACGTCTGTAAAGATTTTCTGGACCACTTTAGACTCCATGGACCGCTAATAAAGCTTATGGTAGCATAGCATATTTTATTCAATCGTCTCATTCATAGAAGAAAAATTCGAGAAGCTATGAATATATAGAATTAATTAATGACCTTAGGAATTATTTAAAACTATTGGAAATTATTTTGGAAGTCCAAAAGCTTTTGGCCAAATTAGTTCCTTTCGTCCTACATTACATCAAACTCGAATACATTTTCACTAAGCTATGCCAACCAGCCCATTAGCCTTACAAGTAGATTGATACATTTCATTATGGCCAAATCATACCAAGGGGACCATGCATGCTTGACACATACAATAATTAAATTTTAAAGAGTCTTTGTATCAAGATTGTCATTTTATCCAATTAATGGTTCACTATATCTCTTTTTTTTTTTATAAATATTTTCCCTTCTGTACCAAAAGAAATTAAATACCATATCAATTTGGGACCAATGTTTCGTCCAAAAATTTTTTAAAAAAAAGGGGACCAGTGTCATTTTTTCTACAGTCTTAATTAATTGATGACTATGCAATGTATTGATTGTGACATCTTAATTATGTAATGCTCATAGGAGAAATATGAAGTTTTCACGGCACATCAAATTAAACTCCAAATAAATGAAAATTTTGCTTGCAATCAATTAATTAATCTTCTAATTATTAAATAATGTAGGTACATCATGTTTATATTTTTCCAATGGAAGAAGCAAACAAGATGACGTGTGTGTTAGAAAGCAAAATTGACAGGAGTTACATCAAATTGAAGAATATTGTTTTTATTATAGGATTAGCTATAATTTCTCTTTAAAATGAATAATAAAGACAATTTCCTCTCACCAGAAATGTTCTGATGTAGTTTTTAATGGTCAGTTTCTATCAAGATTGACATATATATAAAACAACATCCCTGAAAAGGTTTAAAGTAAGTTACTTTCATATTACTTAATTTTTTTAAACATTATTTTGATCATTTGATTTTAAATATTAATATTTATAAATATTATTATTGTGATTACTCAACTGTTAAAAGATAATAAATCGACATAATCATGATGTCTTTATCAAGTAAACATATTCAAATATTAATAAAATTATTTTAAAAAATTAAATTTTTTTTTCTATGTGGACATATCCACATGCCATCAATAGTTGCTATTATGGTGTCCAAGTGATAAGAATAGTTGACATTAGGAGTGTGCGACGGTCGGTTGGGACCGCCCAACCTACCGCCACCGTCGGTTATTGTAACCGATGGTTGAAAAAACAACCGTCGGTTGCTTCGATTGGTCTCGTCGGCTAATCGAGTCGATTGTCGGGGGGGACTCCTTCCTCCCCGAATCGATCGAAAAACCGACTAAAATATTAATAAAAAAACCCATCGGGCCCTCAGCGACCCGCCCCGGACCTCACTAATTCCTCCCTTTTTGAGTCCCGACCTAAAACTCCTACCCATCGCAGACCTAACTCCTTCCCCCCCTCTCGAATCCCGCCTAATTCCCCCCATCGCCGACCTAACTCCTTCCCCCTCCGCTAATCCCGACCTAATTCCCCCCGGCCCCCCTCCCCCGAGTCCCGACCTGATTCCCCCCCGGCCACCCACCCTCCCGTGGGTCCCGACCTGATTTCCCGCGCCCCCCCCCCCCCATCCAGCGAGTCCCGACCTGATTCCCCCCCCGCTTTCTAAGTCCCGACTGAAATCGACTTTACATCATTGCTGTTCGGTCGGTTATATCCAAAAATTTTTGGTTGGTTTTGACGAAAAACCGACCCAAAATCGACCCATGCACACCCTTAGTTGACATGAATGGCGATGTAAAATGTAACAATAAATTAGGAAATACATAAATCTTCTTAAATTTTAATAAAAAATTCACGTTGGTCTGTTAATTTTTGAAATAGATAATAAAATTCAAAAGTGTAAATATTGTTAATAAAAAATATAAAAAAAAAACTAAAATACTCTTTTTCTCTGTCTTTTCATTTTTTTTTCTTCAAATAATGTGGCTAACCAGTATGCTCCCATTCACTGGTCGACCACCCATGGCATGTGCTCCCAAGAGATCGGAGCATCGTTTTGGTGCTCCATTGCCTTGGAAGCATTAGATCTAGTACTCCCCTCCTCTAGTCTGTTTTTTTTTTTAAAAAAATTATATAATAATAATTTTTAAAATTAATAAACGGTAAAATTATCTTTTAGATATTGTCACATCATCAAACTAAGGTAAATACTAATAGTTGACTAATGACTAAATCTATATGTTCAGTGGAATATGTTTTTTTAAGATGAAGTATCCATTTCGAAAACTAATAGATTTGTGTGAAATTTCAATTAAAAGTTAAGAGGTCTAGATATTTTACCCTAAAAATTATTATTTTATAAGATTGAGTAATCAAAATAATAATATTTATAAATATTGATCTTCTAAACATTGTTTTCCAAAATTAAGTTATAAAACCAAAAATTTTAAAATGGGATTATTTTCAAATTTCAAGTAATGAAAGTGAGCTTTTGAAAAAGACATAAATAAATAAGAAAATCTATTTGTTCCTCTACAAAGTTCAGAGTCAACAAATCCATTAGGGAAATCCACATTGGTCCCCGATTAGCATGCTGATTTAAAATTTTTTGTACAACATGAATTAATTAATAATAATTACAAAAAGCAGATCAAATGTAATTTGGCTATATATAAGCCGAAGGGGCTCGATCCTTTAGATTTGAGTAATGACAAAAGCATATCCATCATCAATATATAATATCGAATATTGAAACAAACAAAGAAATGATCTATATGTGCTTTTGAAACTGTACAAAATAGTGATATAAAAAACCATCTACGCCTTGAAATTTGACATGGCAACTGTATTTAATCGTCTGACTGACCCAAATACTTTATTAATTTCATTCCATTAACAAATATGGAATTAAAAAAAAAAACCACATATTGTTATTTACTTGCAGGAAAAGATCATAATCTAACGTGTAATAAGTAGCTATGAAATACCTATTTAAATGTAGAATAGTGGTGTCTGTGAGTAGAAAAACGGGTTAAGGTGGGAAATTATATACAAGAAGTGATACAAAAATTACATTGAAACTTGTCAATATGAACAAGTAGATCTGATCATGAGCCAGGCAATCAGCATA